ATTCTATTCCTATTTTTCTATCTTCTAATTCTACTCTATTCTATATTGTATCCTGTTCCGTTTCTATTCTTCTATTTTATCTTCTCTCTTCTCCACTCTCCTTCCCTTTGCTTCTCAGCATACCAAACTGCAAGGTCACTGGTCCTACAGATGTTGCAAGAGCATCACATCTGGCCAGCCCTTGATAAAGACCCTGTGGCACAGTTGAAGGTGCCTGTGATGGCTGCAGAAGGGGAAATGCAATTTGTGTATTTTTGCAAGGAGCCCTTTGTTAGATTGAATTGCAGGTGGTTGAGATGTTTAATTTGTTCGTTGCCTTTGTGGCTGGAGAGCTAGAAGCGTGTGCTTCCTCAACTGGGCACCTCCAAGAAGTGTGCAAAGATTGGAATACTTGCAGTTTAAAACAGTAAAAACGTTTTAAAGTAAAACTCTTGAGAGTTGGTCTAGGGCAGTGGTGGCTAACCCTTTTGGGCTCCTGTGCCCAAAATTGTGTGCGCGTTTGCATGCTCGCACTCGCGTACCAGCACCCAGAAGGCAATATGCGCCCCCCCCATGCCCCCTACGCATGCGCGTGCAATCCCCACCCACCCGACCCACTGCCCCCTTACCTGCACTGCACCTCACAACTCATTTTCGGCCGGTTTGAGGCCTTTTTCGGCCTCCCAGAGGCTTAAGGAAGGCTTCTGCAGGCTTTGCAGGCCCAAAACTAGGCCTGTTTCACCACTTCCGGTATTTTCAGAAAAACAGGAAGTGACAAACGGGCCTAAGTTTTCGGCCTGCAAAGCCTGCAGAAGCCTTCCTCAAGCCTTTGGGAGGCCGAAAAAGGCCTCAAACCGGCCGAAAATCAGGCTGTGAGGCGCACGCATGCGCAGTGAGGTAAGTTTGCCTGCAGCTTGCGTGCTGGTACAAATGGCTCTGCCTGCCACCTGTGGCATGCGTGCCATAGGTTTGCCATCACGGGTCTAGGGTCTTCTGCTTGAGCAGGGGGTTGGGCTAGAAGACCTCCAAGGTACCTTCCAGCTCTATTCTCATTGATTGATTGATTGATTGATTGAAAGTGTACACTCCCACACAAACCACGCTCTCTCTCACACACACAATGCACGGACTGGGGATTTGGGGGCATTCGAATCTCAACACGGCCAGAAGTTGCCCGGCGGAGAAGGCCCGAATTCATGTGATGGTTTAAAATTTGGGATTCTAATTTTTTAAGAAAACTTAAGAAAGTTTTGATTTTCAGTGGATTGCTGGGATGGCCCTGATGACCTGCCTATCATCTACCACGGCCACACGCTGACCTCCAAAATCAAGTTCCTCGATGTCTTGCACACCATCAAGGAGCACGCCTTCGCCACCTCCGAGTAAGCCGTGTTGCGGCCTTTGTAGGCCTTGGGCCCTGCTTCCTTCCTTGGGCTTTCTCCTCTTCCTCCTCCTCCTCTCCTCCTCCTCCTCCTCTAACACCTCCTCCTCCTCTAATTCCTATTTCTCTTCCTCCCCTTCTTTTCCTTCCCCTCCTGCTCCTATTCTCCTCGCCCTTGTCATCGTCTCCTCTTCCTCCTCCTCCCTTTCTTCTCCTCCTCCTTCGCTTTTTCTCCTTTTTTCTTCCTCTCCTCCTCCTCCTGCCCTTCCCTCCTCCTCCCTCGCCCTCCTTCTCCTCTTCCTTTCCTTCCTTCCAATCCTCCTCCCTTCCTCTTCCTCGCTCCGTCCATCTCCTTCTCTTCCTCCTTTTTTTCCTCCTTTTTTCCTTCTTCCTCCTCTTCTCTCCTCCTCTCTCTTGCCCTCCTTCTCTTCCTTTCCTTCCTTCCAATCCTCCTCCCTCCCTCCCTTCCTCTTCCTCGCTCCCTCCATCTCCTCCTCTTCCTCTTTTTTCCCTCCTTTTTTCCTTCCGCCTCCTCCTTTTCTTCTCTCCTCCTCCCTCTTGCCCTCCTTCTCTTCCTTTCCCTCCTTCCAATCCTCCTCCATCCCTCCCTTCCTTTTCCTCCTCCCTCCCTCCCTCCATTTCCTCCTGCCTCCCTCCATCTCCTCCTCTTCCTCCGCCTCTTCCTCCTCCTCCTCGATTGGAGGGCGGAATGTGCAAAGGCAGGAATGAACCTCACAAAATGGCTTCAGGCCTTCCATAAAAATTGTCCCTCAGAGCGGAGGAGGATGTTCCGGACACCAGAACTGATGTTTTGGTTGACTGAATGGAGCAACCTGGTAGCAGCTCCGTCCTTGGCTCCCAAGTCTACTCGGGAAGGTTATTCAATTGGGACCCCCCAAACTTCTGCCCCCAACCCTTTGCCGAGCTCCTCCTCTTCTCAGGAAGTCCTGCCTCGTGTCCTCCTCGTCCAAACTGCTTAGCCGTTGTCAGCTTTCCTCTGCAGAACGGCACATCGCCCTAGATCATCATCTTTGTTGTTTAACGGTCCCATAATCCTTTCCAGGGTGGAGTCTGAGCAACTGAAATGGAGCCGAATGTTTACTGGCCGGATGCCTTTCCCGTCCCCAGTGCGGAGTTTTGTTCAGCAGATACGTTCTCACTGTGCTCTCCCTAGGATCGAAACTCACAGCCTCCGGATTGTGAGGCGAGAGCTCCACCTCTAGGCCAGTCCTGGATATTGCCCTCGATGTGAACAAAAACAGAACCAAAAAAAATAAATAACACCCCGGGATTTTTCAAGGGCCTGCCTGATGCCCTTTCCTTTCCCCCGCAGGTATCCTGTCATCCTTTCCATCGAGGATCACTGCAGCATCGTCCAGCAGAGGAACATGGCGTCCCACTTCAAGAAGGTCTTTGGCGACATGCTGCTGACCAAACCGGTCGACGTCAATGCCGACCAACTGCCCTCTCCTGCCCAGCTCAAGAAAAAAATCCTCATCAAGGTAGCCAAGCCCTCCGTCATCTTCCACCCGGGACCTCTCCAACCCCTCTGCCCTCTTTGAAACCATCTCCCGGGGTCAGGGCTCCGATAGTGAACCCCATTTAAATCATGATTTAAATCTAGTCAGATTGTCAAAGCTTCAAGAAGATTTATTAGGAGTCGACATGCCGGTGCAACCTGGGTGTAGCCGACGCTGAGACACAACACATTGTCACCCTTGATCCTGGTTTTCCTCCAGCCCCTGGGTGCATCGTAATTCATATTCTCCGATGGGACACCTCCTTAGCCAAGAGTCATCCACCATTCTCTCCAGTTAGAATTTTGTGCGGGCAGAAACTTCGGTCACCTAGTGACTATCTTTGAAAACATTTATGGAATGCGCTTTCGGTTTTGCAAGCTGCTTCGTTGCTGCCCCCTTCTCTTTCTATGGCAACTCCAAAAAGACCACAGAAGTATTTTATGAGTGGACACTCCTTTCCACGCTCAGTTATGCCTATCCGCTTACACCGTGCTTACGTGTCAGGGATAGAGCATCCTGTCTCACTGCTCTCAGGGGGTCAGATTAGGTAATCATAGCTCCTTATTTTTAACACTGGCACACCACAGGGTTCTGTGTGGAGTCCCCTATTCTATACTCTTAATCCCCGCCCCCTTCTAGCACTGATGATGTTGTCTAGTTGGGTCATGAAACATCTGCAAGAAAACCCCCAAGCTCAAGAGAGCCCCCAAAATCCCATGGTCCTCCTTCTCCTCCTCCTCCTCTTCTCCTCCCTCTCCTCTTCCTCCCCTTCTTTTCACAACCCCACTCCCTTTTAGCCCTGATAATGCTACTTAGCGGGGTCCTGAAACGTCTCCAAGAAAAACACCAAGCTCAGAGAGCACCAAGGAACCCACATCCCTCCTCCTTTCTCTAAAATCCCCTCCCTTCTTGCACTGATGATGTTCCACAGTTGGGTCATGAAACATCTGCAAGAAAACCGCCAAGCTCAGAGACCCTTCTGCAGGGGTGGGATTCAAATTTTTTAACAACCGGTTCTGTGGCCATGTGACTGGGTGGGCGTGGCTGCTGCTTCTTCTTCTTCTTCTTCTTCTCCTTCTTCTTCTTCTTCTTCTCCTTCTTCTTCTCCTTCTTCCTATTCTTCTTCTCCTTCTTCTTCCTCTCCCTCTCCCTCTTCTTCTTTTCCTTCTTCCTCTCCTTCTTCCTCTCTTTCTTCTTTTTCTTCTTCCTCTCCTTCTTCCTCTTCCTCCTCCTCCTCCTCTTCTTCTTCTTCCTTCCTCCTCCTCCTCCTTCTCCTCCTTCTCCTTCCTCCTCCTCCTCCTCCTCCTCCTCCTCCTCCTCCTCTTCCTCCTCCTCCTCTTCTTCTTCTTCCTCTTCCTCTTCCTCTTCCTCTTCCTCCTCCTCTCCTTCCCCCCCCCTCTTTCTCCTCCTTCTTCTTTTCTTTTGCAGCCCCTCTGGGGTTTTTTGCCTCAGGCAAGCCGCCCGGGGGGCGGCGGCGTTTTTGCTTCCAGAAGGCAAAAAACAGAGTGCATGGGGGGGGCATGGAGCAGCACACACACACCCTACCCCACATGCCCCTTTTGACCTCCTGGGCCTCGGGGAGGCCTCCTGGGCGAAGCAGTAAGACAGCGAGGGGGATCCCAGCGTAGCTGATCATCGGAACAGCTGATCGTCGGAACGGAAGAAAAAAAAAAGAAAGGAGGAGTGACTGGGCGGGGAGAACGCAGTCAGCAATGTTGGGCATTCGCGGCAAGGATTGACTGACAGGGAGGGGGGAGAGTGGCGGGGCCGGCCTGCGACACGATTCGCCAGTTCTCCAAACCGCGCAGAATCCTAACAACCGGGTCTGTCGAACCAGTCCAAACCGGTAGAATGCCACCCCTGTCCTTCTGTGCTTCATTTACTTTATTGTCATGGCACCTCGTGCAAGGAAATGAAATGCCGCCTTTAGTGTACATTGTGACGATGAAAATAAAACACAAACACGCATCCTTCACCTCCTATGCAATTGAATTGAAACCCCCCCTGATATTGCATGAATATTGCGTGATACGGTAGAATTCAGCAGAGTTCCTGCCCTGGGATAGAAGCTGTTTTTTCAGCCTATTTGTCCTTGTTTTTATTATTATCCTGTCCCGTCTGCCAGATGGTAATAGTTCAAAAAAAAAAAAAGGGTGCCCAGGATGAGATGGATCTTTGAGAATGTTTTGAACTTTCTTAAGGCAGCGGGAGCTCTAAAGCTCTTCCAAAGAGGGGAGAGGGCAACCCAGGATCTTCTAGGCAATGACATTAACCCTCTGGAGTGCTTTCCTATCTGCCACTGTGCAACTGGCAAACCATACAGAGGTGCAGGATACTCTCTGGAGAGGGCGGAGCTGACGTCGCGACGATACGGCATGCAATCTCGGAGGTCTGAGATTGCAGCCAATATCTTTGCCTCTGGACGGTCCCAAGTTAAGATACTCTCTGATACAGCGGTAGAAGGTCACCAGCGGTTGTTGTATCCCAACGAGAACATGTTGCCCAGTGAGCAATCCTAAGCTGGCCAAAAAATGCCATCCTTTGAGTCTCTCCGTCATTATCCCCTCTCCTTCATCCCCTTTGTTCACAAGAACCGTCCCTTTGGGATGGACATGATCTGCTTCTAAATTTGATATATGTACGTACACGAATAACTAAAGCTGCCCATCAGGAGCCCTGGGACATGGCTGTCCGCTCCAACCATTGCATCCCTTCAAAATTCTCTTTTATTTTCTCTCCCGGCCTCAGCACAAGAAGCTGGTGGAAGGCAACCTGTATGAGGAAGTCTCCACAGCCAGCTACTCGGAGAACGACCTCAGCAATTCCATCAAGAATGGCATCCTGTACCTGGAAGATCCCATTGACCATGTGAGTTACTGGGGAGGAGGTGGGGCCACATGATGGTGACTGAGGCTGCCTGGTGTCTTCAGAAGATCTCCAGATGGTCTCCATCACCATGGTTGGCTCATATCAAACTTCCTCAGCCAGACATTCCCTAGATCAGTGGCCCTCAACCTTTTTTGTGCCGCAGCCCGGTACCGGCATCACAAAATCATCTGCGGCCCGGTACCAGCATCACAAAATCATCCACAGCCCGGTACCGGCATCAACATGCATGGCAAGGCGAGCCGAGCAACCGGCCAGCCAGCCAGCCGTTCCCCGCTTCTCCCCGCCACCTTCAACTCCTCCTTTGTACCTGTGTCGATGGGCTTCGCGACGGCTTCGGGACAGTTGCTCGGCTCGCCTTGCCATGCGTGCTGAAAGAATCCTCACACCTTAGCCGCCCCCCCTCGATGAAACTTCGAAGCCGCCCCCCCCCCCTCGATGAAACTAGGGCGCAAGGATTTTTTCAGCACGCAAACGCCGCTTTCTACCAGGAAAAGCTCACCGGAAGCACTTTCTCATCAAAACAAGATGGCGGCGCCCAGCAAACCGGCAGCCCGGTAGAAATTGTTCCACGGACCGGTACCGGTCCGGGGACCGGTGGTTGGGGACCCCTGCCCTAGATCAGTGTTGCTCAACCTTGGTGACTTTTAAGATTTGTGGACTTCAGCTCCCCATGGCTAGCTGGGGAATTCTGGGAGTTGAAGTCCACCCACCTTTGTGGCCAAAGTGGAGAAACACAAGCATTAGTATTTCGTATATTATTATTAACACGCTCTGATGCTAAGGAGTTCTATTCTCCCTCCCCTCCTGAAAAGAACTCCCTTCCAAATGCAAGGAGAGGAGTTTTAGTTTCAGTTTCACAGCACCAAGCAGGTTTAGTATACAACAGCTGAGCTAAGCCACGCCCAGGCTCCTTGCTGTCTCCTTGCTCACTAAGCAAATACTCTTTCAGTTTCCAAACAGCCCTCCACTCTTGCACACACTGACAGGACGTTAGACAGATGAATACCAATGGATGCTGGTAGGCAGAGGCAGAATTTCCCCCCCGCTTTTTTTTCCTATGAAACGAGGTCCCACTCACCATCTTCAGGCTGGTGCTTTCGGCTTCGTGCTTGTGCGAGCAAAGCGTGATCCGAGCTGCCGTCTCCCTATATATACCGATGGGGAGGTTGGCTGTGTTGTTATTTCTTGATTGGTTGGTGGAGTTGATGTTTGCTGATCGGTTGGCTTTTTCGTAAAAACATGTGTGGCTGAAGTATTGGCTGTGTGTCTATCAGCCTCCTGTGTTATAATGACCTGGGTAATGGGCTGTGTGATGACCTTCTGAGTTCTATTGTTGTGACATCCTGAGTCTTGTGCTGTAATCTCCTGGGTCGTTGGCTGTGTTGTAACATCCTGAGGTTTTGGGGTAAAATGCTAGGATTCTGCATTTTGGGGGAGGGCGGGATTTGCACTCGACCGGTACTTGATCTTTCATCCAGAAAGGATTTTATTCCTTTCTGAGTTTTTTTTTTCTCGCTTTGACAACATCCCCGCCTCCCGACTTTCTCCCTTACAGACCTGGAGCCCCCACTATTTTGTCCTGACAAGCCACAAGATCTACTACTCCGAGGAGACCTCCCACTATCAGTCCCATGGGGAAGAGGAGGAGGAGGCGGAACAGAAGGAGGTAAGTCGGCCGATAGAGGCTCTTTGGAAATGGCTGGTCCTCCAAGAGGACTAGGGGATTGGGAAGGAATCACTGGGGAAGCCGGGTTTTTGTTGGTTTTGTGTGTGTGGAATGAGAACCATTCATTATCATTAGGAGTAAAAGAATAGAAGACTTCCTGTAGTTTGTACCAGCTCTTAGGAGTGCGCCATGTCTCATTTACAACTGCTGTTCTCTCTCTCTCTCCCTCCCTCCCTCTCTCTCTCTCTTTCTCTCCCTCCCTCTCTCTTTCTCCCTCTCTCCCCTCCCTCCCTCCTTCTTTTTCTTTCTCCCTCTTTCTCTCTCCCTGCCTCCTTCCCCCCGTTTCTCTCTCCCCCCTCCCTCTTTCACTCTCTTTCCCTCTCTCTTTCTCTCTCCTTCCCTCCCTTTCTCTCTCTTTCTCTCTCTCTCCCTCCCTCCCTCTCTCTTTTCCTCCCTCCCTCTCTTTCCCTCTCTTCCTCCCCGTCTCTCTTTCTCTCTCTATCCCTTTCTCTCTTTCTCTCTTTCTTTCTCTCTCCCCCTT